ATCTTTGATATTAAAATAAAACATAAAAAAAGAACGATTTCTGTATACTATAATTATTTGTTTCCCATCGATTAAAGTACTCAAAATACGTATTATTTCGATACAAATATTTTCGATGAGCAATATAATATATGACTATGCATAAAATACATCAATTACGAAAACAAAAACTATTTTTATCTCGTTTTTTTTCTTGTGTTAAGTATTATATTCAAACTAACAATAAAGAAATAAAATTAAGCGTTCAATAAACTAATGAATTGTTTAGTATTAATAGTAAAGTATCAGTAGTTAATTAAACTTCCTCATTAAAAGAATTCATTTCTACGATAAAGATAATTTGATATAAATAAAAAACATTTGTCCACATTGATGGTGGTAATATCATTTTTCTTTTCTTTCCTTTGCTTAAAGGTATTTTCGATACGATGTACCTCTTAGTAATGAGACAGCAACTACCAATGTCAATAATGATGATTTATGTAAATAGCAAAAGAGCGTTGTATGTTTTGAATATCATGTTATTTGTAGATAAATTATGTTAATAAGCGATTTTTGTTATTGCGTAGTATTTTTTAAAACGATTTTATGGGTAATAGTATGACTAATTAGGATAAATTACTTTAAATCATCAACTGCTAGTAAACATGTCAAGGTTTATGATAAAAAGAAAATATTATTTAGAAACAGAAAATATATTTATAATGTTGATTGAGTTTCAAACTTGAATTAGACAATTATTCTAAAACAACATATCTTTACTTTTCATTATTCAAAAAAATACAACATAAATTATGGACAACAGTTGTAGAATTTAAGTATCACGATATGTTTGAATCTTGCTATAGATTTTATTGCTGTCTTTATTTCATAAAAAAAAAGAAAAACATGTATAGCCGGTTCTTGTAGAAGTATTAATAAATTATTCAAAATATTTCCATTACATTTTTGATAGAAGTTTGATGGCAACTGTTTTTACTTCATAATAAGGTTCAAGACCATATTTTCCAAATTCTCGACCTTGACCAGATTGTTTGAAACCTCCAAATGGAGCTTGAGCCTTCATTGCAGCATAGGTATTAACCCAAACGGAGCCTGCTTGTAGTTCTTGAACAAATTTTAGAGCTCGTGTTACTAAGAAAAAAATATATATATCTGATATTAAAAAAGATGAGTACAGTATAAACTCTAGAAAGATTCTGAGAACATCGAAACTAATTCAAAATCATTCTCAAATATAATATAAACCTATAGACTCTTTTAGATTTTATGACAGACTTCTCATTTTTTCTCTCGGAAGGATTCAGTCATATTAAATCAATTACAATCTTTCGTCAGAACACCAGCAACTAAACCAAAATTAGTTGCATTAGCACGTTCAATCACTTCATCATACGAATCAAATTTGAATACAGACATCACCGGTCCAAATATCTATATTAATAGAAGATTAATTATTGAGAAAAATAAAATTCAAACCTCTTCACGAGCAATTTCCATGTCATCTTTGACACTACTAAACACTGTTGGTTTGATAAAATAACCTTTATCATTAGCTTTTTCACCACCACATTCCAATTTAGCACCAGCTTTTTTACCTGATTCAATATAATTTAGAATTCTTTTGAATTGACTCTTATTAATCTATTTCGAATAAATTTAATCGAGATTAAAAACAAAAAAAAAAGTTTTAATAAATTTACTTGTGGACCTTGTTGAGTAGTTGGATCAAACGGATCACCAACAATTCGTTTCTTGGCGAGTGCAACACTTTTTGCTATAAATTCATCATAAATTTTCGAATGTACAAATGTACGTGATGCAGCAATACAATTTTGTGCTGCATTATGAAAGATTGCTTCATGAGCAACATAGACAGCAAAATTAACTATAAATATCGATTTTAAATTAAATTTAATTGAATATAATTATATATTTACCATCTGCATCTTCACAGATAATCAATGGAGATTTTCCACCTATGTTGCGAAAGAAAAAACACAAGAACATTTTATATAACAGTTAATTTATTAGACTTACCAAGTTCAAGTGTTACACGTTTTAAATTTGATTTAGCTGCACCTTCTTGAACTTTTTTGCCAACCTAAAGAATATGTATTAGAAATTTATTTTTAATTCATTGACTTACTTCAACAGAACCTGTAAATGATATTTTATTAATATGTTCATGAAGAACAATTGCATTGCCACAATTAGGTCCATCACCTAAAACAAAACTAACATTAATGCATCATAAATAAGAATCGCTTTGTAACTGACCGGGTACAATATTAACAACACCCGGTGGAAATCCAGCCTTTAAAAAAAAGAACATCATATAATATTGATTTAGTATAAAAATAAAACTATCAACGGTACTTCTTTGATCAAAGCAGCATCTTGAGGGTGTGGGTGGTTACGTATCTGGATAAAGCCAACACTCACACCCTCTAACTTTAGCTATTTATGCTATTCTATCTATCTTCAATTCTGAGACACTCTGTGCATTGTTCATTTGGACACCAAAACATCTTTTGAAACAATTTAGTATATCTTTTTTTCCCCGCTGGTTGACACATATGACATTGAAATCTATTAGGAATCTTTAAGTCTGGTCTCTGCTCTTTTTCACAATGCACGCAAATAATTCTTTGTAGACTAAAATTGAAATTCCGCATCACTTTTTTATGCCTTTCATTAGGCGACAGCTGACTATCATCTTTTACAAGTTCATACTCTCTATCGACTATCTGAGTGCACGATCTACAATTCACCGGATCCATACACCATGGATATACGTAAAATAAGTTACTGTCAGATGTTTGGACTCTTCCGTTTTTGTTTTGATCGGGATTGCTTTTACAATAATGTCGAAGGCGAAAATTACTACTACCTTTTCGTATCCGTCTGACAATTTCAGTACCGCAATGCATACACATAATCTTTTTCTTTTCCGTATCAAGATTTTGGAGTACTACGTTTTGATGTTTTCTCTTCCAGTTGTCTGTCTTTAGCAAAATTTCTTCTAGTGGAAGATCGTCTTTAGGTCTTGGTATAATAATAGCACAAGCCTCACAACTATCTTTTCTAGGACACCAACTTGATTGTGTATCAAGCCTAGCACATAAAAAAGCAACTACGTTTATGTTTCTCTTTTGCTTCAAGCCTGAAAGTGGGCACCCATGCTTTCCTAGTAAGTCTGCTCTTGTCTTATGGAGAGATATTTCTTTTTCACAATGAGCACAAATAATCATGTGTGTTTCACAATTATAGTTTTGAAGCGCAATGGCCTGTCGATTTATGGGAACAGGTATCTGCGCATCTATACTTCTCTGTCCACATATACTTCGGTTTATGGCATTTGCCTCGTTACTTATATTATCAACGCGAATGTTGAGCAGAGCTGCTACAACTGCCTCGATATTTTTACTACCATCTGAAGAAACTACTACGAGACGATGAGGTACTCCTTGTTTTACCAAAGTGTTCATTGGATAACTCAAAGTACGTTGCTTCTTTTGTTCTTTTCCATAATAACTTTTCCAGCGGTTTGTTGGTGGTCTCTTTTCTGTTTGTCCTACATATAACCAACGAAAAATCTCAACATTCTTTCGAAATGGCAGTTCGTTTGCTAGGTAGTGACGAAATTGTGCTATGATAAAAGAACGATAATCCTTGGTATGTGGATTTTTATGTGGATGATCATGGATATCCTCTTCAATTTCTTCGGAATAACGTTCTAGATCTTTTATTGGAATGTCAAAACTCCAAACGTATGTTGCTGCTGAAGCAGTTGGTTGATTCCATTTACCCCATTCAGGAGGAAGAATAATAGAATCATCTCTACGCACTAACTCCTTGATATCAAAAAAATGTGGATTAACTTTTTCATTATTCTCTGCGAGTGCAAAAAATATCTCATCCAATCCAGAATTTTCTATGCGCACCTGATCTAACAGCTCACAGATATGTGATATGCCACCTGTAATCGTACTTAAATGTTGATTACTTTTCAACCATGTAAGAAATTCAGGCCGCTGAAAACTTTCGGTCTTAGGGAAGACTCTAGAAAAAATTGTGAGAGGCAGTTGTAAGCACTGTCTCTTTGCTCTAGCACTTGTAGATGTGCCGGGTTGTTCCTTTCGTTTATTGTTTCCTTTTTGTTCTGTCGAAACTTTAATTTCACTACGAAGAATGAGTGAACTGTCTTCGGTAGCACTGTGCTTATTGGTCTGATCAATATCAGTTGCACTGTGCACTCTGATTTTACTAATATCAGTAGCACTATGCTTACTGGTCTGATCAATATCAGTTGCACTGTGCACACTGATTTGACTAATGTCACTGTGACTATCATCATTTTCATTGATTGTTAAATTTAATATAAGTGTAAAAGAAGTCATTGATGAAAGAATGGATGAATAAAGAGAGAAATGAATGAATAAAGAAAGAAAGAAATGAATAAATAAATAAATAGATGAATGAATAAATAAATAAATAAATAAATAGAAGATTTTTTTGAATAAATTTTAAATTTTTATATAACAATAGAAGATAATAGATAAATGTTCAGAAGTGATGTATTGTGAATTGTTCGATGAGCGATATGACTATGTTCTGCTGATGCACGTCCTTTTATAGTAGCTGCTCATTATCTCTTTCTCTACTCTCGACTAATTGGTACATAAGATATGACCGTTAGACATATTGTCTCTTTCATCTATTGACGTCGAGTATGTATGTGGAATAATGACCGATCATCTCGTTCTCTTTGAATTTGTCTTTTTTAAATGATTTCATTGTGAAAGAAAATAAAAGACCGAACAATGACTGAATATTTGATTTTTTATTAAATATCAACAATCTATAGTTTAATAATTTATTCTTTGTGTATGAAAGTTTTAAAAAAGAAATCTATAATTTTATTATTTTTCAAATAATAACAAATATTTATAAATCTAATAAATAATTTATAAATCTAATAAATAAAAATAATAAAATCTTTTTGAAAAAGAAAAACATCATAAATATTTTTTCTATTTTTTTCTTTTATTTTTCATTGTTTAATATACAATTCCATTTCTTGTTTTGATGCAGATAATTTAATAATTTCCAAGAATAAAATCTCTTGCATTCCAATATCAATTAAACGTGGTTGATCTAACCAAAATATTGTTTTATATAAATTTGGTAAATAAATAGAATTTGATGATTTTAAACGAAGATTATCATCTATAAATTGGACAATTATGTATATATCCAGTACAATAAATAATCGCATCAAATGCATCTGATGAATTATCTTTAAAATAAACTGTTTTTTTATATCAATTTTAGTAATTGATGAAACTTCTTTGATTTCATTTGATCATTTTAATTCTTTTGCTTTTGTTCAATATGAAATTCTAATAGATTTTGTTCCATATTTATATAATTCTAAAGCAATATCTACACCTCAAATATTATTACTAATTCAAAAAAACATTTTTATTTTGAAAATCTTGTGCAAAAGGATAATTATGTGAATGTAATAATCGATTAGTAAATGTTTGAATACCATCAAAATATAGAACAAATAGTGTTGAATAATGTCCTATTTTTTTCTTCTAAATAATTAATCCATTGAATATTTTTATTAAATTGAATATATCAACAAAGATTATTTTGTTGAGTATATCCTCGAATATATAATCATAAAATATATCTCGAGGTAAATATGATGGAACTGATTGACCAAAATGTTGATCATATGTATAATCAACATATTCGGAACATTGTTTTGATTGATTTGTTCATAAATTAAAATCCACACTACTATGAACATATTCATTATATCCATCTAAATCAGTTTGCTATGTTTAATTCCATTGACCGCCTGAGTCATTTTTGTTTTTCATAAAATATAATTTCAGGTATTTCATAACCTTTTTGTCTGGTAGATTCAAATGCATGTAATTGGCTTAAACAAGATGGACCAGCACCACAAATTGCAACTCGAATTGAAGAACACATTTGTTTTCAACCTTAGATTTTTATTCGTTTGTCTATACAGAAATCAACAGATAAAAGAAAAACATGTGCATTTATTTTTATACATTAGAGAAAAAAAGAAAAGAAATAGTATATACAATGAAGAAGATGGATATTTTTCTAAGTTTATATTTATCGGTATATTCTACGTATCTTTTTCTTCTCGTTTCTATTGTATCATGAATATTTAAGTAACTTATTGTTGTTTAGAAAGAAAAATTCGATTTAAAATATATTGTTAAGAAAGAATTCGAAAAAGAAATACAAATATTATTTGATTTTAATATTAGACAATCGATTTTCTTCTAAATAAAATATATTGTTATGAAAAATGAAATAATTATATCGAATAAATTATTGAAATTGATCGAAGATGAATTGATTGATGAGTTAAAAATAAAATAAAAATATTCTTTTATTTTTTATGTATTGAAAAAAACGAAAATATTTCATTTTTATTTTTATGACCACAAAATCTAATATGTATTGTAATTGTTATTAATTCATTACTGATTTTATTTCAATTAATTAATTTAATATAGAATTTAAAATAAATAATAAGATATTGTGAAAAACATATTTGTCGTTTATCATTATTAAAATCTCTTGTTTATTACTCATAATGAAGCGTCTTATTGAATTAAATTACGTGTTAACACATGTGAAAATATCTCAAAGTGTGGTTTATTAAAAACTAGTTTAATCGATGAGAATTAAGATTAGATATTTTATTAATTCAGTGGATATACAACTCTCGCTCTTTCTAGTTGAAATTCATTGATTACAGATATTAGAATTTCGATAAAATCTTTGTTCTTATTATTAATCAGTCGTATAGAGTTCGATATATATTTTAAAATCAAATCTAATTACAATTTCTACATATAAATAATTATGTTTCTCTCTTGATTAATTCAATCCAAATAGCTTATGGTGCAATAACTGCTTGTTCATTAATATTCCGATTACTTTCGAGATGTTCACCTAGTAAAATCGTATATTGTCAAAGAAGTCTTGTTAATAACATTTTTATCTTCATTAATGCAAAATGCATACTAGCAATGTCGTAGATCTACACCAAATGACATTGAATGACATTGAATAACGTTCGGGTAAGAATATATATGGATCATCATGATCCTATAATTCATGATCATAATGAACTGATAATATATCAATATGAACTATTGTACGTGAAATAAACAAAAATATTTATCATTAATTGTTTTTTAAAATTCTATTTTGGTTAAAAGGATATGTTTATATAGAATTGTAACATATTGAACATTTTCATAGGAATCTAATTCTAAAACTGATAAAATTGTTTAATTAAACTTACCTTTTTCAATATTAATTCCTTGTACAATTGTATTTTCCATAACACGTCGTTGAATAGTAATATTCGCAATTGGAAACATTCTTAATACTTCCAAAATAAACATATTCATATATGATAGTTGTACTATTATATCATAATCAAGATATTCTTTTATTTTTTCATCATTCATGTCATTCATATCATTATTCAAGAAAAATTCATCGATTTCATTTCGAAGTTTTTTAAGAATATTTGGATGTTTAGCAAGTACATATGTTGCATAAGCCAAAGCAGTTGATGTCGTTTCACATTCTGCTATCATAAACATAAGAGTATCACCTATTACTTCATCTTCTGATAACCAATTATTTGATTTCATATGATTTTCCATTAAATTTTATTAGAAATATATATATTTAGTAATTACAGATAAAACGAATGAATCTAATTTTGTCTTCTTTTAAATCATACACACACCCTTTTTCTAATTACATGTTATAAGTATTATTGTCTATCTAAAAATGTCTATTCACGTTGTACTTGTAAATGATGAGTATAGATATGTCCCTTACTTGAATAGGTTGTTTCGTCATAACTTGTAACATAAGCTGAAGAAGATGAGATCTTTATACAAGTGTTTGTTGTCGTTGTTCAACAATTGTATGTAATCGATTAAGAAGCCACATAAATGGTGATTCATCAAATTGTTTTGTTGATGATATAAAAGGTGAAATATTTTTATTAATATATGTTATGAATGTATTATAAGTAAAATATAATCGTCCAAGAATACAACTAACTGTATGTGATAACGTCATAATATAAGTAATTTTATTCTTTCCATACAGAACAACCGTGTTTAGATTATATTTATTTTTTTGTTGAATTTCTGATTTTGATTAGAAAGAAAAAAAGGGGATATTATTGAAACTAACAAAAAGAGTATTTCATCAATAGTATTATTTGGATTTTTATTCTTATTATTAATATATTTTATAGCATACACTGTCTTGTTTTTCTCTAACAAATCATAATTTATTAATACAAAAATATAAATAAGAAGTCGTTGATGTTCTATAAGAGTTCAACGATGATCGTTTTGATAATAAAGAACAATATTATTTTTATCTTTTCCTTGTTTTGAGTATTTAGTGGTCGAGTATTTCATTGAGATTTTATTTGACATTAATTTAAAAAAATACATAAAATATTTTATTTTAAGCCAAAACTCGATTAACAAAAACGAATTATCACTTGAATTAGTTCTCGTATCGATGGGTATGTTTCTTTAATTAATAAAAATAAAAATAAAACTAATCTGTTGTTGTTTTAGTTCAGAACTTGATGCTATGGTGGTACAACACTCGTCCCCTAAATAATTTATATGAAAAATAATATTATTAATTTATTACTTTATTAATTTTTTTCTTCTTACATTAAATAAACAATTATACTTCAAAGTTTCTCTATTGTTATTATTTAAAATATTCTCGTTTAATCATTTTCTGATTCAATTAAAAATGCGAAATAAAATTATGTTTAAGAAGAACAATATACAATCATTTTAATACTACATTCACATTATATTGGTCACTTCAATTTCTATATAGACTAATATTTATTATTTACGGTATATATCATGCGAACCAAAATATAAGAAACGTAAACGTCGTCGTATGTGTGAACATAACAAATAGAATAAACTCATTCAATAAAGCACTCGAATCTTATTCAAATATTAAAAATATTTTATTTGTTGTTGTTTTTCTGTTTTAAACATAAAAAAATAAATATCTCCTTGTGTTTATGGATAATATAAATTATTCAGATAGTTTTTCTTTATTCTATTGCATATTTAAAAGACTTCTACGTCAAATCAATCATAGCAACAACATTGTCAAGCACAATAACTAAAACTGCAATACAGTTCGATAAAGATTTATTTCTTGTCTATCTCATTTCACAAATATTAAAACATTAAAAGCAAAATTAATTTTATTCTGTTGAATTTTATTTCTATTCAAGTTTTGATAAAAATTTCACTGACTTCAAAACTAAATTAGATGACCTTCATCTTGTCAGAATATGATCTTACGAATTGAAGATATACCGATACAACACTTGATGATCAACGCGTTCTGACGAATTTAAAAGATTTAATAATGAATTAAAATGAAAAAGTAAATTATTTAAAAACACATTAAAATGTGTAGTTTAAATATGCCACCATAAACATAACAATATTCTATTAAAAAATGAAGATGACTTGGTCATATCATCGATTACGAAATCCAATAAATATTAATGATAATAATATTAATTCATATCTAGAAACATAGGGAGAATTTTTCTTCTTTTTTTTTCTTAATTGTCAAATATGAATATGAATATTTTTGTTTAAATGTAAAGAAAATATCTATCGAACTATTTTATTGAAAGAGATCTTTTAACTTAAATCAATTAAATTGATTTACAACAAGTCGATTTTCTTTTCCATTTCTTTGTGGTCAATGTATAAAATGAGGCCGAGATTATATTCATTATATAATTCATGATATTACATCAAAACAAACTGGAATAGATTCATCATCAACAAATAAAGAATTATTGAAATAACATCTTCATTATGTGCTGATATATCTATTATTGGTTTTTATTGTTGAACAAAAAGTGATAAATTAAAATCAATAAATTTTACATTAAAAATTAGAACGTTTATTTGATATTTTTCAAAGTACTTTTACATATATATGCATCATGTAGTTTAACACATTCATCTGATCGAGAATTATTACAATTTGAAATAAGTAGTGGAACAAATAAATGATTAGTTAAAACAGTGAATATGAATATAGATGCTATGTTTTGTTTTGTCCAGTTGAAATGAAAACTTCTATGGTAATAAAGAAAATTGAATTTGGTGTATGAAAACAATTATTCCAATTCAATTCAATTTATGACTTGATTCAATAACAAATAATAATAATAATGAGAATAATAGAAAAAATTTTGAAAACCAATTTAAACAATAATAGAGACAATCTAGAAATAATTTAAAAGTGAATAAAGCATGATTTAATATAGAAAGAGACAAAATATTTACTAGAAATTTCTAATATGATTTTTATTTAATTATTTATGTTTTCAAAATAAAAAAAAGAGATTTTATAATTCAATACATTATGTATCGAATTCAAAGAAACTAATTGGAAAAGAAAAATCGACTTTTTTACGATCGATCAGAAAGAAAAAAGTAGGCTTCGAAATATGCTAATGAACTTTTATGAAAAAATTCATCGATAATAGAATTTAATAACTTTTCTATATTTATAAAATATGAAATTGTACAAATAAATTCATTTATCAGCACTTGTATCTAGTTTTTAATTAAAACTCCTAAATATACCTTGTTTTTAACTAACAGATTAAAAATCTAAATAATAAATTAAAGAAGTAGATTTGATTTCAATTCATAATAGAAAAAAGAATAGGTAGATTCTCGTACAGTTGAATAAATCTGTTTTACAATCTTTCTGCATTCGTCAAAATCTTGGTTTTTCTCTTTGCGTTTTTTTCTTATATTCTCTATCGTTCTCGTTCAGATTTTCCTTTCTATTCTTCTTCTTTTGCATATGTATTTTCCTCTCTTTCATATATGAAGGGTTAGTCCTTTCTCTCTCTCTACTATCGTAGCTTTCGTGTTATTCCTCTATTTTATGTCGAGAGTGTGTTTAATAAATAAATATTTTAATTATTTCCTTATTTGTTTTAATATTAATTTTTAGAATATTTAGAAAAGTCTTCTATTATTGAATGATCATTAACTTTCATAAGATAAACTTAAATTATCATGAAAATCTAGCAAAAATTCTGTTAATAGTCAGTTGTTATCATTGATTGATCCGCTAATATTAAATGAATATTAAAATGAGAATCATATTTATTATAAATTTGATGGATGGGCAACTCTTCAATTTGTTACATGTCATTCTCAAATTTGAAATTGGTTTCATTATAAAATTTAATAATTTTATTAAGTTCAATCAGTTAGAGTTTGATAATAAATATTTTTTCTTTTCATAAAATTTCAATGAACAAACAAGAACAAAACAAAGAAAATCTAGAATTTTGTTATTTAAAGTTGACATGAAGAGAAAATTAAATTAGATTTCATAAAGAAGTTCTCAAATATTTGTTTTAGTTTATGCGAGAAATAAAACAAATCTGTTTACTATTAAAAGAAATCAAATAAAAATATTTTTATTTCATCAACGCTTTGAAATTAAAAAGTAAATATGAATTTTGTATCGTTGACGAAATTTTCCTTATTACGAAATTTCTTTTTCTCAAAATCAAAATTTCATTCACAAAACTATTTCAAATTTTGCAATTCCGTGATCTAAACAATCAACAAGTTAAAGATTTGTTTCATTATTAAAAGATAAACCCAAGGGATCATTCATTTGATTTCCTTTTCCATTTCCACCAATAACAATTTCACCTTCTTCTTTTTCTTCACACCAACGCATTATTCGATTATTCCAACAATCTGCCACATAGATTTGACCCAAATGATCAACAATTACCCCGTCAGGCTCAGTCAACTGATTAAGAATTCTTGCATTTCCAGCTCATCCAGCCACAATTTTTCCTTCTTTTGTATCTTTTCTTCATTTCATCACACGATTATTGTTGTTGTCTGATACACAAACAGATTGTTCTTCATCAACAAAGATAAAAGTAGAAGGATTGAGCTTATTTCCTTATCCATTTCCACCTACCACTGCAATTCCTTCGTTGTTGTATTCTCCTATTTTTCATTGTCTCACTTCATTCTTCTTACAATCAGAAACATAAAGAAATCTGTTTTTATCCATTGCCAAGCTTTGATAGTTAATATTCTTAATGAGAATTTGTTGACTTTGATTCAACCAGTGAATCACTCGTGTGTTCCCAAAATCAGCAATGATGATCGAATGATTGTGTTCATCAACAATCACAACTGTCGATCGATCTAATTGATCCATTCAATTTCCTTGTTTATTTTCATTTGCAATGATTTGTCCTTCTTTTGCATTATACTTCCATACAACAATACAATGATTATTAAGATTAGTAATGAAAATATTTTTCTTTTTATTAATAAACATTCCATAAGAGTAATTCAGTTGATTTAATTCTTGTCCATGCCCATTTTGCTTTCATTTGTTAAATCCTGATTCTAAAAAAAATGAAACAAAAGAGTTTAACAAAAAGAAGAAAATTCGTTTTTGATCGCAATTTCGATTTTATTTTTGTGAAAATAGAATTTTTCTTGAAAAGACAAATTTTATTAGATATTTTTGTTGAATTTTGAAAAGAATTGTAATGAACAAATATTTTGTTATTTTA